TTAGATGCCCTGCAAATGTTTGCTGTTTAAATAAGTGAATGAATGAATGCTACAGAGGCTCAGAGCTTGGAAAGAGTTTACAGTCTTTGAGGCCGGGCGCTATGGCTGACACCTGTAATCCTAGGACTTTGGGAGGCCAAAGGTGGGCGGATCACCTGAGGTCAGGAGTTTGAGACCAGCCTGGCCAACATGGTGAAACCTCGTCTCTATTAAAAATACAAAAAAATTAGCCAGACGTGGTGGCACGCACCTGTCATCCCTGCTACTCTGAAGGCTGAGGCTGGAGAATCTCTTGAACCTGAGAGGCAGAGGTTGCAGTGAGCCGAGAATGCGCCATTGTACTCCAGCCTGGGTGGCTGAGCAAGACTCTGTCTCAAAACAATAATAAAAAAAAAGAGTTTACAGTCTTCGGTCATCACGGAAAGGCTCCCTGATGTAAGCTGGGTCTTACATCTCTTGAAATGGAGAAATTTGTATAGCCAGAGAGGCTGAGAGGGGACTACTTTGGCTTCTCAATATAATCAGAAAATCCAGGTGACCAAGGGAGAGTGTTAATGTCATGCTTTGTTTTCTGATATTGCTCAGTGATAAAGGAAGCTGCTATCCTGAAGAAACACAACTTATTTGAAGACAACATGGCCTTGCCCAGTGAAAGTGTGTCCAGCTTAACAGATCTAAAGCCCCTCACAGGGTCAAACCAGGCCAGCCCTGCCAGGAGAGCTTCTGCCATTCTGCCAGGAGTTCTGGGTAGTGAGACCCTCAGTAACGAAGTATTCCAAGAGTCAGAGGAAGAGAAGCAGGCTGAGGTCCCTAGCTCATTGGCCAAAGGAGAAAGCCTTTCTCGCCCTGGGCCCAGCCCACCCCCGGGTGGGACTGAGCAGGTGATTATTTCAAGAGTGGATGAGCCCGTGGTGAATCCTGTGGCAGCAGAGGAAATGGCAGGACTCCCGGGCACATGCTCATCAGAGCTGGAGTATGGCGGGACCCTTGAGGATGACGAACCCATCCAGGAAGAGCCAGAACCCATCACTGCCTCAGGTTCCTTGAAGGAGCTCAGAAAGTTGCTGACGGTGTCCGTGGAAGTACCAGTGGATTCTGCTCCAGCGATAGAAAAAGATACAAATAGGGAGAGCCTTGCTCCCCAAGAAAATGAAGAAGAGGAAAAAGAAGCCAGTCAGGCAGCTGCCACCCATCTGGACAACTGTGAAGAAAGTGAAGTCAGTGACAGGGAGGCCCAAACTCCCCTTCCCGAGGCCCGTAGGGAGGAGTTGGGGGGATTTCCAGAGGCAGGCAGCCCTTCCTCTCAGCCAGCCAGTGGAGGGTTCACTGAGGAGCCCCCGGAGCCCGTGGAGGGGGCGCTCCTAGGAGAGGCCTGCACACTCGCTGCCCATGATGGAAGAGGGGGCAAGGGCACCGAGGAAGGGGAGGATTCGCAGCAAGAGGGCTGCACTTTAGCTTCTGACCCCGTCTGCCTCAGTGAGAGTCAGATTTCTGAGGAACAAGAAGAGATGGGAGGGCAAAGCAGCACAGCCCAGGACGCGGCCGGTGTGAATGCAGAGATGAAGGTAGCCCGAGTTCATGAGTGCCAGTGGGTGGTGGAGGATGCTCCCAACACAGATGTCCTGCTGTCACACAAAGATGATGTGACGGAGAGAGAAGGTGGCCAGGAGAGTTCCCCAGAGCTGCCCTCAGAGGAGTGAAAGGGACCATTTGGCTAAAGTCTTTCTCTGAACAAAGCCAAAGGGTTACGGGGGGTATTTTTAGGGGGTTGCATGTGAGCTGTTACCAAAAAATGTTTAAATATTTTCTTCATTTGAATAATAAAACCAGAGGAAATGCACACAGGGCATGAGCATCTGAAGCAAACCTCTGTAGAACTGAATTGTTCTACCATGAATTTTTCCTTTAGTATTTTAATAAGAATTACAGAGGCGATGGCGTACTTGGGCAAGAGGGAGTTCAGGATGTCTGAGGAGGGACCAGTATTGCAGGGAAGACTGAGAAAACAGTAGGTTCACAGTTTTGAATATACTCTGCACTTTTCAGTGGAGCAATCTTCTTATGCACTTTAAAGCTTTTTAATCTTGTTTGAGAATGCAAATGTATACTCTAAGTCTAGCTTTACTGTCCACTATGCCTGCTTCACCATCTCTTAAGGACTCAACGTTTGTCCACAGTCAGGCTGCAAGAAAGGGTAGGTCATGAACAGCCACCCCTGCTGGGTGGAGCCCCACAGAGCCAATCATGCCCAATAGAATCAAGAGAAGCTGAGCAGAAATGGAGGGAGGAAGGTGTGATGGTGTGCGGGACTGTCTGGGCCTGTTCCTCATCCTGCTATCGATTTCTTATTAATTAATCTTGATGATTCTTATTAATTAATCACATTTTCAGGAAATTCAGGTGAGGCAAGAAAATTTTATTAGCCTGGGTAAGCCTGAAAGCATTCCAAATTAGGCTTAGACTGTACAAAGGGCTTAGCTAAATTATCGAGCTTAACGCCTATCAAGTAAACAAACATTGTTTGAACAGTTACTGCATGCCACGCATGGTGTTGGGCTTAGTAATAAAAAAAGAAAAGATAAGGTGCTTGTTCTAGCATAAATTAAAAGGTCCAAGGGAATTTAATCTAGAAGAAAACATGTGCCAATTTTCAAACTATGACAGCTTTTTTCTCCTCTCTTTCCATTCAAACAGTCCTGGTTCATTCCCAGAAGGGCACAAAATGAATGAATGAATAAATAAATGAATAAAGACAAGAGCCAAGGTATATGCCCTCAAGTTCCAAAGATGTTACCAAAAGCTGAAATCATTTATTTGGTCATTCAGCAAGCTAATTGAGTCTCTGTTATATACCAAGCACTGGGGATACCATGGTGTAAGTTCCTCCTAGAACTTACATTTTAATGAAAATAGACAAAACACATCTTCTGTAACCATTAATGTTGAAAATGGAAGAGACTTACTGCCAAAAGATTAAAAGGAGTTGTTCTCTTCTCCTTCAGAAAAATACCAGCTTGTTTCCTAAAAACTCCAGTCCCTGGTATTACATCTCGGTTTTCCTCCCCCAGTTGTTTTTTTTTTTTTGAGATGGAGTCTCACTCTGTTGCCAAAGCTGGAGTGCAGTGGTGTGATCTCAGGTCACCGCAACCTCTGCCTCCTGCATTCAAGAGATTCTCCTGTCTCAGCCTCCCGAGTAGCTGGAATTACAGGCGTGCAGCACCACTCCCAGCTAATTTTTATATTTTTGGTAGAGATGAGTTTTCACCATGTTGGCCAGGTTGGTCTCAAACTCCTGACTTCAAGTGCTCCACCCACCTCAGCCTCCCAAAATGCTGGGATTACAGGCGTGAGCTATCTGGCCCCACCCAGATTTTAAAATCAGATTTCAACTTTTTTCAACTTTTTTTTTTTTTTCAAAGACAGGGTTTCACCATGTTGGCCAGGCTGGCCTTGAACTCCTGACCTCAGGTGATCCGCCTGCCTTGGCCTCCCAAAATGCTGAGATTACAGGTGTGAGCCACCACACCCAGCCTCAACATATTTGCTGAAAGCTTTAGATCATCAAGTAAACTCATATCTGTTCCTTTTTTTTTTTTTTTTTTTTTTTGAGAAGGGGTCTTGCACTGTCCCCCAGGCTGGGGTGCAGTGGCACAATCCCGGCTCACTGCAACCTCTGCCTCCCGGGTTCAAGTGATTCTCCTGCCCCAGCCTCCAAAGTAGCTTGGATTACAGGTGCCCATCACCATGCCCAGCTAATTTTTTGTATTTTTAGTAGAGATGGGGTTTCACTATGTTGGCCAGGCTGGTCTCAAACTCCTGACCTTGTGATTCGCCCACCTCGGCCTCCCAAAGTGCTGGGATTACAGGTGTGAGCCACCGCACCAGGCCCTCATCTCAGTTCTTTAGAGCAGTTCAACCATTTAACCAGAAATTAAAATATCACCCTCTTCAGCCCTCCCATGAAGAATTTCTAGGTCATAAAGGACGAATAATAATATTTAATTGTCGCAGCTTTTCTTGGAGTGTTTAGATCCTCATGTCTTTCAGGGATCCCACCATAGGGAAGAAGGTAAAGGCCACTTCGCCCTCGGTCCCTGCTTTCCCCAGTGCTCACTTATATCCTGGCATTTAGCATGGTATGTTGAAATGAGGTTTACTTCCTGTCTCTCCAAGAGGCTCCTCTCTTCAAAAACAGAAACTAGGGTTTAGTCATCGTCTCTGCTTCCTGTTAGAAACCCACAGCCTTGAATAATGGCTTCCTGCCTCTTTGAGTCACTGTAGTATCCCTGGTGCCCAGTATAGGACCTGGCATGCGTCAGGCTGCGCGGGACATGTGGGAACTGGACACCCAACACACTGCTGTGCTGGGGCTATTTGGGGCCTGCTGGCAGGCAGAGAGATGTTTTGAATTGGGCTTTCTGCCCTTGTTGAGTCTTCTCTTAAGTAAAGTCCAAAGTCCCAGATGCACTGCCTAGGAAGGCAGGAAGCCAAAGGAGCAGGGCCTAGCCCCACAAAGACTGCCTGACTCCCTGGGACAGTAGCGTGGAGCCCCAGCCCAGGCTGACCTCACACAAGAGCTTCCTGGCTTCCTTGCTTTGTTCAACGCAGGGCTTCTTGCACTTCCTGGAAAGCTAAGAGATTTTCTCAAGCCTAAAAGACAGTACATTTCACTGCATTGGATGGATGAACATCTGTGCCCTAACTTTATCCATTATTTAAGTCAGGGAGAACTGGGAACTATTTGTCAGGATGTACTCCAGAATATAGTCAAAGAATTTTCTATACCTAGTTCACTAAAGACAAGTTCTTGGGCTGGATGCAGTAGCTTATACCTATAATCCCAGCACTTTGGGAGGCTGAAGTGGGAGGATCACTTGAGCCTAGGAGCTTGAGAAAAGCCTGGGCAACGTAGCAATATCCCATCCTTACAGAAAATAATAATGGTACGTGCCCGCAGGCCTAGCTACTGGGGAGGTTAAGGCAGGAAGACTGCTTGAGCCAGGGAAGTTAAGGCTGCAGTGAGCTATGATTGTACCACTGCACTCCAGCCTGGGCAATAAAATGAGAACCTGTCTCAAAAAAAAAAAGACAAGTTTTCTAGAATAAGCAGGATGATTATTTCACTTGAAGATGGAACGGGAAACTAGAGTACATTTAAAATGCTCTGTATTCATTTTAACATGTTGAATGGAATAACTTCATATCACCATGAGTTCATTTTGCTTTTCATACAGACTTGTATGTGTTGTTTCGGTGGTTTCCAGATTGGAGCAAGGTTATTCTGATCTAAATGAGCAGCATGAAAAGCCTCTGTGTGCCGCTCTGGGGATCTCTCCTATGGGCAAAGCCATTAGAAATGCATAAAACCTTGAGACATGGTTTTTGGCAAAAACTCCCTGACTTTAAACTAGTTCTTTTACTACTGACCTTTCATAAGGAAAATATATTTTCCTTGAAAAAAATTGGGCTTGTCATTTTTTCCCTTGTAGCTTTGAGCAGAGAGAGTAGTGCCTTGCATTACACATAGTAGACTCTCTTAAAAAAAAAAAAAAAAGATTTTGGGGACTACAAGGGTAGATTCCAATTTGTCCAAAAGCTTTCTGGCCTTACATATTTTATTATAAAACTTCTCTCAAGTCTGGTTTTGTAGTCCTCTATATCAGAGCTAGTGATTTCAAAAGGTTTCACAATTCTCCAAGACAAAAGTGATTTTTGTTCCTCATAATAAGGTTAAGTGATATGTGATCCATAGCAATTTTGATGTGGGGAATGGAAGAACATGATTGACTTCATAATAATAGTTCCACTCAGTGCAACATGTGTCTTCACACGTTACCATAAAGAGACGGGTTTAGGGCTTTGCCTTCTAAAGTCGCAACATCAAGAAAAAAAAATCTACACGGCAGCGGATTGACTTTTCTGGTCACTATGTAAAGCAAGTAAACTTAAAACACTTTGTAACCATGTATTTACTCTGCCAAGTGCCTATATTCAAATAAAATGTTCATCCTTGAAGAGCTGTCCAGATGTCATTCATTTGGAATGAGGCTGGTTTCATCTTTTAAGCAGATGTCACACTTGAGTTGGGAGGAACAGCCCTCTGAAATGAAAAGGTGAGTCACTCTTACTGTATTATGGAACTTTTACTTTTCTGTTGTCAGGAAGGAATCTGCAGGGAAGCCACTTAATGACAGGTATAATTATGCTTTGATAATGCATGTGCTTATTTCTCCAGGAATTGGATCACATCCATCAAACAGCAGTGGGCAATTGCTCTTGATGTAATTGAACTGCTGTTCAAACCTAAATTTATTTCCAGTGGGTGACATTGAGCGAAACATTCATTCTTTCTGTAATTATATATAAAACAATATTTATTTGCCATGTCCACAGTTGCTCACTTATCTGTGGATTTATTCATCCAAAAAATAATGACTTGGCCCCTAGTATAAGCAGGCACTCCAGTGGGTGGTGAAGAAACAAGTGAACACAGTAGACATGATGCCTGACATCAGCAAACTCAGATTCTCAGGGTGGACCTGGCCAGAGAGAACCCCGAATGAGTATTTACCTCCTCACCTGGCCTACATCTTGTCTATAATCTCAGCTTTAACTCCAGTCACACCAATAGCTTCAGGTGAGAGAGGAACAAACATTGGAGAAATCAAGTCTACCAGTGAGGGGGGTACTTGGTGGGGCATAAAATTAATCATTCCCTCTCCTCGTTCCACACCAAACGTCCAAGATGCAAGAATCCCTTCCAGAGTGGCCCCCTCAGACCTTCCACTTAGAGCCAAAATTCAGACTGGAATTAAGGGACAGGGAGGTTGATTTGAAACTGTTTGCAGAGTTTTTTCTGAGGTCATATGTTTATTGGGTGTGGCTTGGACAGGACCGATGAGTCTTGGGAGGGTCAACTAACGCTATTCTCTCCTCAGCCACACTTGGAGCTGCCCCTGCTTGAACACCTCTGAATCTTTGCCACATTCTTCCTTCTGACAAAAACATGTATCTCTCTCATCTCCATCTGGCCAATTCCCACTTTTCCCGTAAGTGTCAGGATGAGTCAGGCCAAATCCACACTTCTCTGAACTCTCACCCTAGTTTTCTTGCCCACTGCGGTCATCCTCTGTTGCAGCATTGACCTGGCCCGTGCCTTTGGGACAGGTACTCTGTCTTTAATCTTTGTAATCATAGCAGAGGAATACAAAGCTCAATAGAAAATGTTTGATGCATGTTGAAGGGGCCCGGCATGGTGGCTCACACCTGTAATCCCAGTACTTTGGGAGGCCAAGACGGGCAGATCACCTGAGGTCGGGAGTTCAAGACCAGCCTGAGCAAATGGCAAAACCCCATCTCTACTAAAAATACAAAAATTAGCTGGATGTGGTGGCAGGCCCCTGTAATACAGGTACTCAGGAGCCTGAGACAGGAAAATCACTTGAACCCAGGAGGCAGAGGTTGTAGTGAGCTGAGATGATGCTACTGCACTCCAGCCTGGGCCACAGAGCAAGACTCTGTCTCAAAAAAAAAAAAAAAAAATGAAAGAATAGATGAATATCACCCATTCTAGATGTAGGAGACAAGTGGATATATAGCTGATGATCCCTCAGCATGCCATAAGTGGCTGTGAAGCTGGTAACTATTTATCCTCAGCCTACTGGGAGAGTTCCGTTTCAGTGATGAAAACTGACCATATGTTTGTGCATACCCACGCCTCCGGAAGGGAGCTTCAGAGCCAAGTTACCCCCAAGTCAAGCTAGCTATCAGCACTATGAACCACCTCCCAGTTCTCAGCACAGTGGCTGCCACTGGATTTTCTTAGGGTCTCTATGATGTAATCAATGCAAAAAGTTGAGAAGATCACCCTTGAATTGCACCCAAGTCTGCAAAACACAAGCAAATGCCCAAGAGTTCATGGACAGCATCTGCCTCCGGCAAGCTCTTCTCTTGTGGATGGGCAGGGAACAGAGAAGCAGATATGGACCCTACTGTTTAGGGAGCTCAGTCCATTTGAGAAGATTGAGAAGCAAGTGATGGTTCTGCAAGAAGAGGAGGAAGCGTTGTGGCAGCACAAATGTAGGGCAGCTCCTGAGTCTACTCAAGAAATGTCAAGTTTGGTTGTTGAACTTCTTAAGCCTGCTCTTCATTTCTTGCCTCCTTTATCTCTTCTCTGTCACAAACCAACATCCAAAATCTTGCTGCCTACCGTGAAGGAAAATTGTACCAAGATCTCTATGGCAGCCCCACACACTCGTCCCAGGAATCGGGGTCCTCTGCTCTAGACCTTCTGCGATTCCATTGTTTCTTTACTTCTGCACTGCACACAAAGCTGTGTACATGTACAGTAGCGAGAGCTCTCTGTGTTAGCAACTCCAAGTTGGGGTGAGGGAGTAACAAGACAGGTGGGGTGGGAACATGGAAGAATTCCTACAAGACACCGAGGTGATTTGGAAGCTAAGAGATGGCTTCTCCTGGTGAGACTTCAACTTTCCCCTCCCCATGTGTCCTCATTCTGCGCTACTGCCTGGACCATGTGAGGAACAGCTTTTGTGCACACTGGTGTGAGAAAGATCATATGGAGGAAGAAAGGAAGGTATTTCTGTTTCCATCTGTTGGAGGCTTCAAGTTTTGAATCATTATATTTTTGATTCAGTTGTTAGAATAGATGGTGTTCTCCATGGACCATTTGTCAGGATTCAATCATGGATTCATTAGTAGACATCAATAAATATTTTTAATTAATATCAAATAATATTTATTGATATCTACTAAGGTGCTACAGACTCGGCTAGGCCCTGGAAATAGAGTGGCAAAACAATGAGCCCTTGACCTTCACGACATTCAGATTTCTGAGTTATCTTTGCTGCACTGAAAATTTCAATTATTCAACTTAAGGGAGATACTCTTAATATAAATGAACCTCTCCCACTTTTTGAATTGCATTTGGAAATTCTCCATTAACTTACCTACAAACTTGGTTTATTTTGAGATTCTTTATGAGAAAGTTGTATGGCTGTCAACTCACCGTATTACCCTGGGCTAATCACGTAACCTTTACAAGAATTTGTTTCTTTGTAGAATGAGAATAATGGCACTCACATCACAGAATTATTACGAGTATTAAAAGAGATCACGTGTAATAGCCATTTCAGCACAGTTGAATAAAGTGAGGCTCAGAGAAGTTAAGCCACTTCCTGAAGGTGACATAGCTAGTAACTAGTGGAACTCGGCATGTGATATAGCCATTGCTACAAAACGAAACCACTCCAAAACTCAATACCTCAAAATGGTAAGCTCAGAAGACTACAGGTCAAGCATCAGGTGGGCAGTTCTTCTGATCCTGGCTTGCTCTCTCAACATGTGTGGGAGCTGGCTGGCTCTATGTTAGTGTAGCCTAGCCACAACTCAGACAACGGGGCTCTACTCCATGTGGTCTCTCAGATTTCAGCAGGTAAAAGGCATGAAATGTGTCCATTGGCTTACAAAAACGTCATCAGTACCTTGGTAAGACAAACCACATTGCAATGAGATGTGAAGGAAAACACACTCCAGTTTGTCTTTGTCTGCTGTAGAGTGTGTTACTCCAAACTGAGTCTGATGTTCTAAATGTGGTCTGACTGGTGGAGTAAAGTGGGATCCTCTTCACTTTGATCAACCTACTCTGTGTCTACCAATGTAACTTTAGACCAAATTAAGGTTGTGGGTTTGTTTTGTTTTATTTTTTTGGCAATCCTACTTACTGCAGCACTCCAATGACTCATATGAAACGCAATCTGCTTAAACCTTATGTCATTTCCATATGAAGCAGAGGTAGCTCATGACTTCCGACTCTGCTTATACAGCTGAGTTTTAAAACTAAATTTGGAATTCAGCTACAATTTACGTTGTTAGCTTCAGTTCTTTGTTCCAGCCTATGGAAATCGCTATTCTAATTCTGGCAACATTAGTTATTCTCCTGGCTTTATGTCATCCATAAATTTTATTTACTCATCATCACTATTTCCATCTAAGTTATGAATAATGTCAAGTCCCACGCATTCAGGCAAGGGTGGGTGAAAATTGGAAGATATGGCTGGGTCTGAAGTCAACAATTGTCAAAATGCTGACATTAGCAGGTCTGAAGCCAGGAGAGTTAGTGAGTTTGGTACTAAGTTGTTCAAGGAGGATGGGCAGTAGATAAGGGATGATGCAGAATCCAGGAACGCGGCCAAATCACAACCCAGAGGAGAAGATTCAATACAAAGGGCAAATCTGGAAGCTAGAGAAATCAAAGGAATACCTAAAGTCATAACACAGTCACTGAAGGAAATGCATATATCATTACTAACTTTTGGACTTCCAAGTGGCTTTTATTTCCTCCCCTCCATATGCAAGTATATCTTTCCTTCCAAATTTCAAAGACCTTAATAAATAAAAACGTGATAAAAGATGGATCTTCTAGCTCTTTCCTTGGGAACTTCTCCTATGTGGAACTTTCTTGGATTGGTCAGGTAACCAACTACTAACACATCTAACAACTATCTCCGACTTCATTCATATTTTCTTCCTGTCTCCAAGGAGATGAGATTTTATGAGTGTTGGGGGATTTCTTAGTACATTTTCTGTTTCTAAAACAGGATATCAAAGACCGACTAATTTAAAAAGAAAAGAAGTTTATTTAGCTCATGGTTCTGCAGGCTGGGAAGTCCAAGATGGGTAACTGTATCTAGTGAGGGCCTCATGCTGCTTCATGGCCAGGTAGAAAAGTAGAACGGGAAGCCCACATGTATGAAAAGACCGAACACAAGAGGCAGCCTTGCTTTGTAAGAATTTGTGGTAACTAATCCAGTCCTGCAAGAGTGAGAACTCACTCACTCTCAGGAGAGAGTGTTCACCCATTCATGAGGGATATGCCTCCCTGACCCAAACACTTCCCATTAGGCCTCACTCCCAACACTGCCTCATTGAGGACCAGGCTTCCAACACGTGAACTTTGGGAAGATACTCTCAAACCACAGCAGGGAGAACAGGAAAAAAGCATAGCTTTTCACTGGAGTTCCCATGTTTTATTCCACAATTTTATTTTCAGTCCTGGAATTTCATCAAGGATTAGTATCA